GAACATGTGAAAAGAAAAGGAAAATCCCCAGGTGCCGGTATACAAACATGGAAGTGAAAAGCAGGGTGATGGGTAAGCAGCAGGCCGAGCGCAGAGAGCTTGGGGATGGGGGCCAGGCCTGGGTTCGTCCCTAACACTAAGAGTCTTTTAAGCATGGCCACCTGCAGGGCGGAAAAATGAGGCATGGGCCTCCAGAGGGCAGGGAGAGAACTGGGGTCCTGTATGAAGGCTGCACGTCCAGCAAAAAGGAGGCTGGTGCAGGAGGTGCCATACCCCAGCAGCGAGCAGCAGGTGCAGCGGGAGGCACCAAGAAAAGCTGGGCAGATGCCCAGCCCTGGCCAAGCTGCCCAGACACGAGATTATCACTTAGACCCAGAGGGGAAATTGGAAGGCTCAGCAGCAAAGTTAAGGTCAAAATTCCGTTGGACTCAGAGTTGGTGCACTGGCAGTCAGATCCGGGGCCCAAGATCACCCCAGAATACCCCCCATCCAGTGAGGGAGCTGGGCCTGTGCTTCCCAAGGTTTCCACCAAGAACTCCTAAGGCAGAACAGCTACCTCTGGGGAGGCCCAGAGGGAAAGGTCTGAAGCTATTCATGGAACCCCAGATTTCTTTAAAGCCTCAATTTTCCTTTTCAAATACATAGGACTCTTGCATTGCAACCAAAACAAACTAAATTGATGACAAGGTTTCCAGTGGTCAGAGGGAAGTCTCATACCCCAAGTTACACGTGTCCCAATTTGAGAAGCACAGATGAGGGAGGGCTTCAGAGACAACACAGGAGCCATGGTGGAGGTGAACTGAGAGGCAGACCCGCAATCAAAAGCCTAGAAGGGAGTCTCCAGTAAGAAGAGGTGAGGCCGGGCAAGAGGAGAGTCACACAGTTTGCTATAGGTTGGTAAAAGCTTGCTCAGCCAAGCAGTGCCTCTTTAGGGAGGGAAACGCTGTCTGCTCTTTGACATTTTGTAAATCAAGCCTGGTGAATTTTAACCTGTGAGCTTATCTAAAACCCCTTGAACTGACTGAACTGATTTAAATTTCTGTCCTCTAAATTAATTTCTATTCAGACATCACTTATTTATATACACCAAAAACAGCAAAATATATATATATATACACACATGTATATACATAACCTTGTGATTGTATAGAAAACATTTTCAGCCATTCTGTGCATATTTTATTGAATAAATAAAAACTTTATTGGCTTGGTTTTTAAAACCTATAAACAATATAGTTTCATCTTTGTTTGATCACTTAAAATATACAACTTTATGTAACCAAAATGCTTAAAGGGTTTTGTTCACTGAGTGTTGACTATTTATACCTATACATATGAAAATCTGACCTGTCAAAACTGGTTTTGCAGTAGCCGTATTTGAGATATGTGTGGATTTCTATAAAGATTGACTCTTAAAATTATAAGATGTAATATAACACCTAGATATTAAGGGAAAAAATGATTTTGCAACCCCAAGTTGGGACTTACACAAGAAATCCCTGTGGTGGTTACAAAGTTTAAAATTCTATTGAGTATGTTTATTTTTCAAAATAAAACAGGCTAAGTAAATAGCTAACAACAGTACCTCAATGACTGCTATAAACAGCTAAGCTATACTTGACAGCTATAAGAACATGATATTTGTATTTCCCTGAGTGCACAGTTTGCTTTGAGTTCAAGGGCACGGTATATGTGTGTGTTTCCTGAAGCTATTGAGATCGGAATAGATGAAAACTAAGAACGTGAACCTGCTGGTGTTGTGACAAGCTTAGCTCCCTGCTGTTTGAGATCAGCCTTGGCAACCAGGGTCCCTTAACCTCATCTACAGATTCTGCTCCACCAAAACTCTGGGCCACCTTCTCTCTAGGACAGGAGACCCAGCTGAGCAGCTCAGAGGCTCCACAGCAAGTGGGCCCAAATGCCGGGCCTGCTCCAGCTTGTGCCTCTGCTCTAAAAAGTGGATTCCTTCCTTATTTCCTGGCCTGGAATTCTCCCTTACCCTTCTTGGGACTAGAGTCAAGCCCACAAACTCCAGGGCCCCTCATATCATTTTCCAGACCTGCATCCTTGGAAGCTGACCTCCTCCTACCCTATCTGTGTCTTCCCAGCCTGGGGTGCTCCGTCCACTCCCAGGATCTGCCTTAACATCCAGTCTGCTGTGCTGGGACACCCTGCCACGTCCTGCCTGAGTCTGAGGGCTCTTTGTCTCTGGGTTAATTCCCAGCTTGGCTTTCCCCCAACTGAGGGTGGGGTGATAACAGTTACCTTCCTGTAAATGTATTTGTCTTTATTTCTTGGAATGGATTTTGGATTTTAGAAGCTCTCACCCCTGGCAAGTGCCTAGAAACGAAAACCCTGATGACTATACTTAAGTTTCCCCCAAATGACTTGAACTTTCTTTCTCTAAGAACTACAGACTGGCTTTGAGTTCAAGGGCAGCTTCAAATACAGAACCCTGGGTCTTCTAAATAGGGGTATCTGTTCCCTACCCCATGCCAATCCCTATTTCTTGAGTGCCAGCTACATGAAATTTTCCACAATTCACCTGCATATCTGGTGCCGTAAGAAATCATAAAGACTGCTTCCATGATTCATGTAGGTATTCTGAAGTAGTCCGAAAACTTGGGTCCTACATTTAGAATCAGGTTTAGAGCACAGAAATCCCAAATTCTCACTTTCCCAGTATAGGATTGACCTATACTGACCTAACTCAGTATAGGGTTGACCTGTTGATGGGCTCAAAGTTTGCCAATAGGTCTTATCAAAGGCCTGCCATCCACTCCCTGACAAGGAGCGCTCTCTTTTTGAGGGGAGGCTCCCTGTGTGTGCCAATACTGCTGTCACTGGATTTCCTCTCCGAAGTTCCTCCCTGCAGTAGTGTTTGGAGCAACACAGATTTTTTTCCTGTAGTTCACAAATGGTTCTGGTGGTGACCTCGGAAAGACAAACAGGTAAGCAATGGCCGCTGGGTGACTTTACTGCACTGCTTACCACCTTGACCCCTTTAAAGGCAACCGAGACTTGGATCCAGCCTCATAACTTCATGTGATCTAATTTTAGCTAACCTGAAGAAAAGAAAAATAAGAATATAACTAGTGGCCTATTCATCCGTATTGAGTGTCTAGCATGGAGATTTGTCATTCATTGGTGTCCTCAAGGCTTGAAAAACATGAAGAACTCCATGAATGTTTGCTTCCATTGGGAGCTTTGTGATGGCTATTATAGTGCTCATGAGTAAGTGATAGTTTGTCCTAAATTTCCACAAATATGCTTATATTGCCCTGTCTTACTTTTCACAGCAGAGAGCTGAACTGTCATGCCTCTAAGGCACAGAGCCTTTCACACACCAATAAACATTTATATTTATCTTCAACAATCTGGCATAAACAGAAATCTCACCTGTAAGTTTCCAAGGGTTTAAAATCTGTTTCAGATATTAGCTTCTAACCATGACTTTTTAATGAAAATTAAATTCACTGTCAACTCCAATACTCTAACTTCCCAAACTCCTGAGAGGAACAAGCCACTCTGGCTATGAAATAAACTCTATAAAGAGAACTGAAATCATATGATGAAATAAAGTCCATTGGGTAATGCAGTCACTATGTTGCTATCATTGTTGCTTTTTAAATACAGCATATGAAACAGGATCTCTTAACCTGTTTCTCCAGCTTGGGGATTAGAAGGCGTTTCCAGTGAGCTCATTTGAGCTCTAACTCTTACAGTGAAGGACAGATTCTACTCCTTAAGTCACAGTTGAGCGACACTGATCAAAAAACCAAGTCAAAATGCTTTTTAAAAAGTCCTGAAAACTAAGGTTTCAGGAGGATGGGCTATCAGGAACATGGATCTAAATCACTGTGTAAAAACTAGCAAGTGTATCTATCGTTCCTGCAGAGGCCAGCTGTCTTCGGGTGTTTACTTTTTAAATAAAACAGTAGTTTGAGTCTCTAGAAACATGTTTGCTACATTACAGTACGACTGGTGGACTGGTGGACGCTAAGAGGCCAGGGCACCAGACCATGCTAAAGGGACAATTCTGTCTGGCAATGACAGTTCTGGTCCAAAATGGGTCATCTTATGATCATTAAAAGGAAAAAAAGGCCAGCCACGGTGGCTCATGCCTGTAATCCCAGCACTTTGGGAGGCTGAGGTGGGTGGATCACGAGATCAGGAGTTCAAGACCAGCCTGGCCAAGATGGTGAAACACTGTCTCTACTAAAACTACAAAAATTAGCTGGGCATGGTAGCAAGTGTCTGTAATGCCAGCTACTCGGGAGGCTGAGGCAGAAGAATCACTTGAACCCGGGAGGCGGAGGTTGCAGTGAGCCAAGATCACGCTACTGCACTCCAGCCTGGGTGACAGAGTGAGACTGTCTCAAAAAAAAAAGGCTTTCAATGGGAGGAGGACGGAACACAAGTATTTCATCTCTTTCAAAGCAAACAGGCCTTCCCAAGCCCATCCCCCCAGACCTTTCGAGTGGAAGAACCTATTAGATGTTCTTGACAAGGAGCCCAAATGACTCCTTGGTTTAAATTTTGGTAAAGGAGGGGGATGAGGGGGGATGCAGAATAAGAAAAGGAAGGAAAACAGGAAACACCTTTATTTCCCTGCCTTGCTGAGTGAATCTTTTAGCAGACTTGCCGAAAAAAGAAATGAGCCAGATTTTTTGTTTTCGTTTTTGAGACAAGAGTTTCACTTTTGTCACCCAGGCTGCAGTGCAGTGACACAATCTTGGCTCACTGCAACCTCCACCTCCCAAGTTCAAGTGATTCTCCTGCCTCAGCCTGCCGAGTAGCTGGGATTACAGGTGCCTGCCACTGCACCTGGCTAATTTTTCTATTTTTAGTAGAGATGGGGGGCGGGTAGCACCATGTTGACCAAGCTGGTCAGGTGATCCCCCCCAAGTTAGCCTCCGAAAGTGCTGGGATTACAGACGTGAGTCACCGGGCCCGGCATGAACCAGGTTTGGTTTTTGGTTTTTGGTTTTTCCTGCTCTGAGATAGGCAGCATGGTGAAAAGGGCATTGACTCTGAAGCTGAAAGACCTGGGTTTTAGACTCGGGTAGGTACTTGCTGAGTGACCAGAGGACACCACTTAGCCTCTGTGAACTCGGTGCCCTCACCGAGGGAACCAGAAGTGATAAAAGCCAGTCGCCAGGTTGAATGAACTGATAGAAGGAAGTGCCTGGCACAGAGCTGGCATAGGGTAGGTGGGTCCTGAGACGCTGTCATCCTTCCTCACCTCCCCTTCTGAGGTAGGTCATGCAAACATTTCTGGCTGGTCTTAAGTGTCCCCAGACTGGAACTTCCAAGATTCCCCCAAAGTGAGCCCCCGATGTACGGTCTCCAGCTCGAGGCTGCTGCCTGCAGTGGGGCTGGAGGAGGGTAAGCGGTGAGGCGGGCGCGCTGAGGGTCCAACCGGCTCCCCAGCTCCCCATCCTGCGCTCAGACAGACACCGCTCCAGGCACGATCCTGCGGATGTGGGTGTACGACTTCCTGATGGTGACGCTGCCGTGGTGCGACACACCCCGGGGCAGGACGCACTCCTCCGTCAGCCTCTGGGTCTCAGGGTCCCAGCACAGCACGGTGGCGATGACCTCGTTCTTCTCGTCCCTCCCGCCGGTGATGTAGAGCCGGTTGTTACAGGGCGCGATGCCGCAGCTGGCCCGCTCGTGGCTGAGCTGGGTCACCAGGCACCAGCTGTCTTCCAGGGGGCTGTAGGCATACAGCGCTCTCATGGCTCCACCTGAGGGCAGGGAGGGAACATGGTGGGCATCCCTCCAGTTTCTGCTTTCTTCGCTCTGAACCACTAAAACTCAGCTTCTGGTTAGGCCATGTCTCCCCTCTTCCCAAGAGAAACAGTAGATTGATGGCTCCTCTGAAAACCAGAGCGGGTCCCAGGGGCAGTGAGTGGCCAGCGCTGGAGACACTGCGACACACTCTTTCTGTGCTGCAGCCAGGCAGGAATCCAGCTCTAAGCTATGCAGATGAATAAGCAGCCCTTACTCACCAACAACGTAGATGCGGTCCCGGAAACTCACTGCATTGATGCATTTCGCCTCCACCGGCATGGCCGCCTTCAGATTCCACTTGTTGGTTGATGGGTCATAACACTGCGTCTTGTCTGTGGCCAGTTTCCCGTTGGGCCCTCCCCCAATCACGTAGAGCTTCTTCTTATGGCTGGTGGCTGCAAAGGAGCTGACGTGGACAAGGAGGGGCGCGGCCTGTGGGGCACAGGGCACAAGAAGCAGCTATCAGTCACACTGCCCAGGTTGCTGCAGCAGCTCCCAGGGTGCAGGACGGAGCTCCAGGACACAGAACTGGGCAGCTTTTGCCTAAAGTCACAAGGCCCATGCGCTGCACTCCTCTTAAGACTCAGCGAGAATGAAAGCATGCATTTCCCACCCTCCCTCCAGGCTCCACACAATCTAGAGCCAGCTGTGTGCTGGGATGTGCCAGCCTCTCCCAGAGTCCAGCTCTCAGGGAAGGAGGAGGATAGGCACGAATAAGTTTATACAGATGAAGTCAGCCAATGTTGGAGGAAAATGATTTTTTTTTTCTTTTTTGGAGACAGCATTTAGCTCTTGTTGCCCAGGCTGGAGTGCAATGGGGCAATCTCAGCTCACTGTAACCTTCATCTCCCGGGTTCAAGCGATTCTCCTGCCTCAGCGTACCGAGTAGCTGGGACTACAGGCATGAGCCACCACGCCCGGCTAATTTTGTATTTTTAGTAGAGACAGGGTTTCTCCATGTTGATCAGGCTGGAGTCTAACTCCCGACCTCAGGTGATCCAGCTGCCCTGGCTTCCCAAAGTGTCAGGATTACAGGTGTGAGCCACCACGCCCAGCTCAGGAATATGACTTTTTTATACATGCATGTTCATATTCATTCATGTGCTCATCCACTCAAAAAAATGTTTATGGAGTGCCTACTGTGTACCAGCATTGATTTTCCTCGGTGCTTATGTCGAGGAAGAAAAGCTGGTATATGGGTTTAAGGTGGCCACAGGTAAGTGGGCTCTTCCACTACAGGGCAACACTGAGGCTTTTGAGATTAAGTCAGACATGTGCTTCTACCCTGGGAACCCCTGGACACTAAAGGAGCCTCTTGCCCAGTTACATGACCCTTTTGATCATGGAGCAGCTCTGGGATAGGAGTTGTTTTGAGAAGATCTTGGGCAGGTCCCCGCAAATGCTAGGAGCTGTCCATATAGCACTTTTCAGGCTGACAGTCTTGACTACATGATGTGGTGACCTGGCTGCCTCTGCTTGTGCCTACAGTGACGGTGTTGTACTCTCCATTAAGCTGGGACATGCTCGGACATCTGATTTGATAAGGAGAAAGAAAACTGGAAATTGGGAATAGCCTGGAAATGAGATCAGGTGGCTTTTCTTTTCCTGGTGTGATATATGCCTGAGGTTGTGCTGCTAAAGTCTGACATGCAGGCCTGTAAGTGGCTCTTCATGGATGAGAAAATAACGAGGGGACAATTTCTAACATGATGGAATAACTCTGGGTTCACAAATGGTGTAATAAAGTGATCTGCATGTGTCCAGTATGGAGAAGAATAGGAGAGAAGGCATCTGAGGGGACAGGACCCTAGGCCAGGACATGCAGACCAAGAGAGCTGCCGTGCACGACAGCGTGAGCCTCTGCTCACATCTGGGGCTCTGGCCGGATTAGGACAGGTGCCCACACAGACCTTCACCACCTGGAAGATATTGTTTCTGTGACTTAATCAGCAAAAAGCATGGGCTTCCAGAAGGAGGGAAGCTCAGAGCCACCAAAAATGTTCTCCTCAGAAGTAATGTGATCAGAAAGCTGGCCACCACTGTAGGTACATTCCCAAGCATTAAAAAAAAAAAAAAAAAAAAAACATTGAAGAAATAATACAGACAGTTAGTCATAGAAATCATCTCCTGGCCAGGCACGATACCTCACACCTGTAATCCCAGCACTTTGGGAGGCCAAGGCGGGCAGATCACAAGGTCAAGAGATCAGGACCAGCCTGGCCAACATGGTGAAACCCCATCTCTACTGCAAATATAAAACTTAGCTGGGTGTGGTCGTGGGCGCCTGTAGTCCCAGCTACTCAGGAGGCTGAGACAGGAGAATCACTTGAACCCGGGAGGCAGAGGTTGCAGTGAGCCAAGATCGTGCCACTGCACTCCAGCCTGGGCAACAGAGTGAGACTCCCTCTCAAAAAAAAAAAAAGAAAGAAAAGAAAAACGAAATCATCTCCTCTACCTCCGACCAGCAGTTGTGAAAGGGGTCGTAGGTCTCCACATTGTTGATTCTCTGTAAGCCGTCGAAGCCTCCGATCACATAGACCTTACCGCCCAGCACCACCATCTTATGCCTCCAGCGGCCTATGTTTAAATACTCAATCTGAATCCATTTGTTGATTGAAGAATTATATTTCCAAACATCATGCTGTGTTTCTTTGCCACCTGCAAGAGATAAAAAGCATTTAAGAAACCACCAGATATGTCAGAAATACAGCATCTCCCATAACATCCCGCATGTCCAAAAATGCCGGGTTCCTCGGCCAGCCCCAGCTTGCGGGGAGATCAAAACAGCCCTGAAGGTGTGTGCAGTCTGGTGTGGGAGACAAGGCAAACGCGGGGGGCAGCGAAGGACAGAATGCATCGTGCGCCCCACGGTGCCATGTGCCACCTCAGTGCAGGCAAAGTTCAGAGAGGAGGTGGCTAAGTGAGCGGTGTCCCAGGAAGGCTTCAGAGGGTAGGCCCCAAGTCAGCCTGGGTGGGTCGGCGCCCGAGGGAGCCTGGGCTCAGCGTTTGTGCTCACAAGGAGCAGGAAGTAAGGCTGGGCAGGGACAGTGGGCTTTGTCCAGAAGGCAAATTACATGGCAGCTTAAGTTCTATGTTGACTTATTTATTTAAACAAAAAAGCAAAGATACAGACCTGCAAAAATCACCAAGAAATCGTACAACATTCTCTTGGTTTGTCTTTCTGATCTATATAAAAAGATCAGTGAGACTGATCCTATTTCTAAATTAATTTGTTAGAGGAGTATGAGATGCCCCTAACAGATCATTTGAGAGTGACCTGGTAAATATTTTCTTGAAGACAGCTCTCCTAAAAAACAGAAAATATGTAATTCAGCAGCTGGGGGAAGAGACAAAGAAAAGGGAGAACTGACTTTTTCTGATTTTAATCAACTATTTCACAGCTCTGTTTTTCCATTTTCCCATAGAGTACCACCAACGACTGGAAGCAAAGATTTACTTTGCAGACCTACACATGCGCAATAGTGCAGAAATGACCATTGCTGACCAGCCACCGTGTCGGGGCGTTTCTCTGGTGTGGAGCGCGGAAGCGGGTTTTCTAAGTCAAAGGCATGTGCACCTGAACTTTTACAGGTGTAACCAAAGCACCCTCCACAGCTGTGCTGGGCGACTTTTCCTCATACCCACTTTTTGAGGGTGGTGGTGGTTTTGTTTTCTGTCTTTTAAAAAAATTTTTTTAATTGAGTCTGACAAAGAAAAACTATGTCAGTTTGTTTTTTCTCACTACAAGGGAGGCTGCTTCCTCTTCCATGAATCTTTTGTTCATAGTTTGGCCATTTTTCTTTGCGTGGGGTACCTTTCAGAGGTCTCCATTTATTCAAAACACTGTGATACGGACCCCATTTAGGTAGCATCAAAAAGTATAAAATAACTATAAAATTTCAAAGGAATGTATGCAACGTTTATAAAAGAAAAAGAAGAAAACCTATTATTTTATTTTAGGACCAAAAAAAAAACTTGAGAAAGCATATTGTGTGCATAAATGGGACACATTATTGTGAAGATGTCAGCCCTCCCTGGGGTAATCTATATACACAATGCCTTCAGGACTTTTGGGGGGAAGTTGATGGGATAATTTTAAATTTCACTGGGAAGATTAAGTTTGGAAAAATTTCTAAGAAACTTTTGAAAAAGAAAAGTGAAGAAGAAGGCTTTCCTTATCAAATATTAAAATATACTAAAAGGCTATTATAATACAAACAGTGCAGTACTAGACAAACTGACAAGAGCACAGAACAGACTAAAATATATACAGATCATTAAATAAATGTTATTAGAACAATTGGTTATTCATTTGGATGAAAATTGAGTTAGATACTTATTTTACATTACATTTAAAGCAAAATTCAAATGTTACTTCTCTAGAAGTAACTGGAGAATGTATAGGAGATTATGTTAATGACCGTGGGGTTACGAGGGGTTTCTAAGCATAACAGGAAATGTAGAATTGTATAGGAAAGAAAACTATGTAAATACAAAGTTTAAAAACCACCACAGTCTAGGAGAAAATATTCACAAGGCAAATAGCAAAGGATAAATAGTAAGAGCTCCAAAAAGTTAGTAAGAAAAAGACAAAAATCTGATAGAAACTGTCGAAGGGTATGAACAGATAATTTTAAAAATAAATACAATTATCTGGTAAATATATAAAACATGCTCAACCTCACTGATGACCTAGGAATGTAAATTTAAACATTCTAGTCTATTAAAAATTTAAATGAGTAATAATAAAAATCGTTACCAAGGATAAAGAAAATGGGCACCACCATTCATCACTGATTGAACTGTAAATTGGTCTGACTTTTCTGCAGGACAATTTTGCAACATATACGAAATTGCCTGTTCACATATGACCACTTCCAGGAAACTTTCCAGTAGCAGCACAAGTATGAAAAAATATATGTGTCTAAGAATGCCTACTGCAGTATTTTTTAAAGAGGTTTTTCAAAGAAAGCTGAAACAATCTTGGTTCATCCATTTGGTAGACTGTGATATAGCTGGTAAAAAGCGTATCAGTAGCGATGATACCGGCCAGTGTAATGAAGCTCCCACCACGTGCTTGGCAGGACGCTGTGCTTGGCATGTGGTAACTATCTCACTCAATATGTATCTCCATTAAACCAGCATGCCCTCAGGTCTAGATTATTTTGTTAACTGAAGGACAAGTTTCTGTTTCTTTAACCGTGTATAACAAGCATGCTTTCAGGTTCTGCTTGTATCATTAAAAAGCGAACGACACATTTCTCACAAAATAATAACATGTGGGTCGGGTGCGGTGGCTGACGCCTGTAATCCCAGCACTTTGGGAGGCTGAGGCGGGCGGATCACCTGAGATCAGGAGTTCTGGACCAGCCTGGCTAACATGGTGAAACCCCATCTCTACTTAAAATACAAAAAAATTGGGCCAGGCACAGTGGTTCAATTTATAGTAATCCTAGCACTTTGGGAGAGTGAGGTGGGTGGATCTCCTGTGGTCTGGAGTTCAAGATCAGCCTGGCCAACAAGGTGAAACCCGTCTCTACCAAAAATACAGAAATTAGCTGGGCATGGTGGCAGGTGCCTGTAATCCTAGCTACTTGGGAGGCTGAGGCAGGAGAATTGCTTGAATTGGGAAGTTGGAGGTTGCAGCTAGTCAGGATCGCACCACTGCACTTCAGCCTGGGGGACAGAGCAAGACTCCATCTCAAAAAAAAAAAAAAAAAGAAAAAGAAAAAGAAAAAAAATAGTGCAATGCTGCTCACAGTTTAGTGTTTATTGAGTAGCAGTGTGCCTTCACGATAAGACCACCTGAGCTCCTGGGTCCACATCCCGTCTTACTCAGAGCCAGATCATCACCAAGTCACAGTCATTCTTCTAGGATGGTTGCCGGGCTGCCACTCAGCAACATACATAGTGCTACTGGCGGCTGGCTTTGGCCTCACGTGGCTCCTGCTTACCTGAGATATAGACCTCATTTTTCAATGTCACGCATGCAAACTCCACCCACTTCTTATTCTCACTCTCCAGCTCGTGCTCCGTTAGCGGGAGCTTGGCCACCTCCAGGCGGCTGCGCCTCAGGGGGTCCAGGCAGGTCACCTCTGCCACAAACCGTTCATCCTTCGTGCAGCCGCCAATGATCATGAACACCTCGGACTGGAACTCGTGCATCCTGGGCTTGGTGCGCTCCGATATGATCTGGAAATCAATAGGGGTTCATAAAGGCAGGACAACACAATGGTTCAGAGCTCAGGCCACGAAGCCAATAGGAGCAGGCTCCAATTCCCACACCTGCCACGGCATGACCACGTGACTTCACCTCCCTGAGCCTCGATTTCATCATCTGTATCATGCGGTATTAGAGGTAACTACCTCGTAGGTGTGTTTCCAGGATGAAGTGGGATAATGTATGTAGTGTGCTTCACTCAGGCCTGGTACATAATAGGTGCTCAATAAATGTTACCTGTTTTTGTTGCTGTTTTAACAGGTTGGGGTCTATACCATCAGAGGCACTTCCTGCCTTTCCTCTCCTGCCTGGTCTGAAACCTTAAATCCTGGAATTTCATTTTGGACTTTCCCCCTTGCCTTTAATTTCTTGATGAGATCTCAGACTTTGCTCCCCGTCAGCCTTCTGGAAGAGACATCCCGGACAGTGACACATAGAGCATTCAGAGACTCAGGAAACAAGAACTAGAAGGAATCGGGGTGTGGCCAGGAAGGCGGGAAGACTGGTTCCAACACACAGTGTATGACCTCGCAGAGCTTCTGACAAGTGAAGAAATCCGTGCTATGGGCATTTGGACTCCGCTGAAAGAGCACAGGCTTGCAAGTCAAGGGTACCAGGGTCCTATCACCGATGGCCATGTGGCCTTGGAGAAGCAACACAGCCTCTGTAAACTGCTTGTTCATTTCTCTGCTCTCAGATGATTGTGAGCATTCGTAAGGCCATGAGGTGGAGGTGTGAGCAGAGCACCCAGCACATACTGGCTCCTCAACAGTCATGCCTGTAGGAGCAGTGGCAGGTGCCATCTTGATATTGCTATAAAAGGAAGAGCTGCCCTTCCCTGGTTCCACTGGCCCCCTGGGCTCCATGGTGAAGGTTCCATAGGAGTGCTGATGGGAGGCAGAGAGGCAGCCACCATTTCCCAGATGGCCAAAGTCACCCATTTACCTACAAAATTAGGCTGGCCTAATACAGACTACAGAACTTCGATTTTGCCCACAGGTGGTGACAAATGGGTTACAGTAGCAAACACTGAGCCCTCAAGTAGTGAATGCAACCTGGAGCCACAAATAATCAGACCAGCCGACTCCCGGCCTCGACTTCTCTATAACAGTCTTTGTTCGGTTGGTCAGCTTTCTGTGCCTCGGAGCCTGGTACGGTGAATTCTGCATCCTCAGTTCTTGAGGCTGGACCATGGCCATAACATCTGTGGCGGCTATTCCTTACAGGTCAGGGACGGGTGTGGCTGGGGGACAAAGCCTAGGCAATGGACTGGGCGAGGGTGTGGACAGCAGAATGGTACTGGGGGAAGGGTGAAGGGGTGGGCCAGGGAGCCTGGAGGCACCATGAGAGCACCAAGCTGGCAGGACAAGGTCTGGGCAATGGCACCAAAGCCAAGCTTTGCTGCTCTGCAACTTTCTCTCCAGCTGTCAGCCCTGGTTCCTGTCCCTAAACCCCATGCCCCACAGCTGAGGCACAGCCTCCAGCACCAATCTGGTCCTCTTTTAGAGGGCATTTAGGTGTTGCAGGCAATGCTTTGAAAACAGCACGGGCCACCCAGAATGGATTCCCTTGTGACACTTTCTTCCATTCTGGGAACCAGGCCTCGGCCTTCACTTTGAAGCTTCCCCCATCTTATTTGCAATGCCTGCTCTCCTGCCCCAGTAACCTGTTGAGTGATTGAGAGGCCACTAGGAGAACTGGACTAGCCATGACCCCCAGGGCTGGCACCTTGTTCCTTGGTCCTGACCAATGAAAGGCTCTCTTCCTACTGACTGAAATCCCTGGGTTCCTGACTGCTACCTGGATCTCCCCATAATATTCTATTCTCAATTCCCCATGCTACCACCCCAACCCACTTACCCTTTAAGGCATGGTGAGTAATTTACCATGTAACACTTTGTCCCTTTCTCCAGGAAGCATTCCTAACTTTGCACACATTCCCATAACCCTGAATTTCCCCACAACGGCACTGTTCATGCTTCATTGTAATTTATTGTAAGACCCTGATGGCAGGAATGGCCCTTTTTCTCCAGTGGATCCTCAGCACCAAGGATAGTACCCAGAGCTTATGGACGTCTGTAAACACTGACTAAACGAGTGAATGAGCTGGGCGCAGTGGCTCACGCCTGTAATCCCAGCACTTTGGGAGGTCGAGGTGGGTGGATCACTGAGGTCAGGAGTTCAAGACCAGCCTGGCCACCATGGTGAAACCCCGTCTCTACTAAACACTTAAAAATTTTTTAAAAATTAGCTGGGTGTTATGGGCACCTGTAATCCCACCTACTCAGGAGGCTGAGGCAGAAGATCTCTTGAACCCGGGAGGCAGAGGCTGTGGTGAGCTAAGGTCGCACCATTGCACTCCAGCCTAGGCAACAGGAGCGAAACTCCATCTCAAAAAACAAAACAAAACAAAAAGTGAATGGAGGAGTGAATGAATGGGCAAGCGAGGTAACTCAGTCTAAACTATTGTGGTAGTGAGCACCCACAACGGCCCGCAGTGACCCTGCTTCCTGGTATTCACATCTTGTGTCGTTCCCTCCACACTGTTCTAGAATTGGTCTCTATGATCAACAGATCACAGCAGAAGTGGTGAGGCTGTAACAGGCATTTCCAGCTTGCATCCAGATTACTCTTGCCATCTTTCTTAGATCATTTGTTCTGGGGGAGGCCAGCTGTTAAGATGCCCATGTGGCAAGAAACTGAGGCTCCCAACCAGCAGCCAGCAAGGATCTGATGCCTGCCAACAGTCCAGTGAGTGAGCTTGAATCCCACTGGAACTTTGAGATTACTGCAGCCCCAGCCAACAGTTTTACTGTAACTTCCTAAGAGACCCTGAGCCAGAAGCACCCAGCTAAACCACTCCTAGATTCCTGACACTCAGAGCCTGTTAGATAGTAAGTGTTTGTTATTTTAAACTTTTCAGTTTGGGGGTAATTTGTTATGCAGCAATTGATAACTAACAATCATCTAGCTGATGGGCTTGGCTGGGGTAATGGAACCTGCCTTAGAACTCTGCACCATAGAACTGCCAAGTGGTGGCACCATTACCACATTGTAAATTCAGCTACATTTGGCAAAATATTAACTCCAAAGTCATGACAAATGTCAATCTGAAGTCTGAGACGTGCCAGGTTGTTGCAGACACAGAAGTGTTTGCCAGTGAATTGCATGCAACGATCAGGCATAACCAGTTTACTTTCAGATTGTTCAAAACAGAGCAGATAATTGTACCTTAGTGCCTGTGCACTCTCGGCAGACGCTGTACAGGGGACAGAGTGATCATATTGTTTCAGCAAAGATGTCATTGGGCTGGAGCCTCTGCCCCCTTTCCCATATCACATACATCAGAGTCACCTTTGCTATAGACCAACTGAAAACGTAGGAGGCAATTAAGTGAAGAGGCAACTTTCCTCTGTCCCCAAAGACCTCTTCAGTGAAGGTTCCAGCTACCACTCCCAAATCAAATGGAGACTGACATTTGCTTTTGGTGTTCTAAAATTTCCCGTCATTACCGCCCATGTAGAGGACAGGCAAGGTTAAAAAAGAAAGGTGATGATAGGCTAAGAGGGTTAGAGTTTGGTGAATGAAGGGTGGGGAGAAGGGTGTTCACAGAGCAGCCTTCAGGCTCACTCTGCTGCCACAGGAGTCAGCCCAAGGCCGTGCCAGCAGTGAGCAGACTGGGTTCCCAGGGTCTCAACTGGCAATGAGACCCCAGTTGGGAGGGCCTTGGTCGTTGGCTGGTTGGTTCAGTTGCCCGAACTATAAAATGAGGATGAGACAGCACCTCGAGAAGGATTTGGGAAAATCAGGCCACAAAATCCTGGGACACAGTGAAAAGACCGATTTTAGCCCCAGAGAAGAAAAATGATTGTGAGAGATGAAGCAACGACAAAGGATCCAATGGCAATGACAACAGCTTCCATTTGTGGGACACTCAGCGTGCACCAGACACTGTACTGAGCATCCATTCATTACCTGGTTCTCGGAACAGTTCTGTCAGTTGGTAGGTATGATTATCCCATGTTACAGATCAGAGCTGAGCCTTAGAGTAGCTAAGTAATTGCCTGAGGTTATACTGTAAATAAATGGTGCCATCAAGATCTCTGCCTGACTCAAAGCCCAGGTTCCACCGCCGAAGAATTTTCCAGATGTCAGAATTCTGTCTCCTCCTAAATCTAAAGTTTATAATGTCGGACTCTGCCCCCAGCACCTTGGAAATACAAAAGGCAATGAAAATATTTCATTGTAGCAATTTTGCAGATGACAGGGTAGGGACCTTTTATGCCAGAGAAAAGCCTTTATCATCTGCATTTCAAAGACTCAGAAAATAGGGAGCAGAAATAAAAATAGCACAAATATTGGAAGTATACTTGAGCAAGGCACTGTTTATTTTTAAATTGTTTTTAAAGTGCTATTTATTCATTTTAACTTTTGTTTTAGTTCAGGAGCATGTGCAGGTTTGTTATATAGGTAAATTGCGTGTCATGGGGGTTTAGTGTACAGATTATTTCATCATCCGTATCCAATAAGCATAGTATCTGACAGGTAGTTTTTCAATCCTCACCCTCCTCTCATCCTCTACCCTCAAGTGGGCCCTGGTATCTTTTGTTCCCTTCTTTGTGTTCATGTGTACTCAATGTTTAGCTCTCACTTAGAATTGAAAACATGCAGCACTTGGTTTTCTGTTCCTGTGTCAGTTCACCTAGGAGAATGGCCTCCAGCTCTATCCATGTTGCTGCAAAGAATACATGATAGCATTCTTTTTTATGACTGTGTAGTATTCCACGGGAGACTCGGAATAAATGCCAAACTGAGGGCCATTGCAGAGACTAAGACCTGTCTGCAATTATATGCAGGCTATCTGCTAGACATCCAGCATGGAATAGAGCCTATGTGGTTTCCTAGGCTTTCCCTATCAATCCACTCATAATTCTTCATTTGTTAAATGTTCCATCTTCTCTGACACACAGACTGGTTTTGCAGTACCTGGTGCCATATCTGGCATATAGTTGGTGTTCAGAATTTATTTGCAAAAAATGAAGGCATAGCATCCTTAAATACATGGGATGCTGTTTAAGTAGTTTTTAGGGGGAAATTTATAGCATGAAAGCCAATATTAGAAAGAAAGTCTCAAATCAGTGGCCTCCACTTCCACCATAAGAAACTAGAGAAAGAAGTGCACATTAAACCAAACTAAGCAGAAAGAAAGAAAATAATGATCAGAGCAGAAATAAGTGAAATAGAAAACAGAAAAACAATAGAGAAAATCAAATGAAACCAGACATTAGTTGTTTGAGAAAAATCAGTAAAATTGATAAACTTCTAACCAGATTGATCAGGAAAAAAAAAAGCAGGGCGGACACAAATTACCAATATTTGGAATAAGAGAGGTTACAATACTATAGATTCTGCAGGTATTAACAGGATAATAAAGAAATGCTATGGACAACTTTATGCTAATAAATTCAGCAACTTACATGAAATGAAAAAGTTCTTTGAGACACAAACTATCAAAGTTCATGCTAGAAGAAACAGAGATCCTAAATAGTCCTATATGTTAAAGAAATATACATTATAGTTTAAAAACTTTCCACAAAGAAAGCACCACTCTGGTAAATTCTACTACACATTTAAGGGTATGTTTGCAGAGTGAATGAATGAACAGTGCCTCTAAAGACAACCAAAAAAATTAGAAAAGAACACAACAGAAAAAGGGAGAAACTCCAAAAGAAACTCAGACAATCCCTGGGCCACATTTGGCTAAGGCTTCTACCAATGGCCTAATGAAGAAGGCTTGGTAGCTAATCCCAGAACCACTGCATAGTGAGGCATGAGTGTTCATGTGTACACACTGTTAACAAGCTGTTCCTATATCATTAATTCCTCTCCACTAAATGTGTTCTTGTCTTTATGAAGTTCTGAATAAAAATCTTCAAGAATCGTTAAGGAGAACCAGGTAGATCCAAATGATATGTTTATTCACCATTCATAGTACCCATTTAATCATTCAACAAGCATTTACTAATTACTGATTCACTATATAGCAGTATTAGAACTCTCTCCTAAGATCTGGAGATGAAAAGTATGGTAAGACACATTTCCTGCTATAACAAGCTCCCAGTCTAGAGATATTTACAGATGATAATTCAAATGGTTATTGTGCAGCAATTGGTGCTTGACAGAGCAATGCACCAAGTGCTGTGAAAACATGGAGAGTGGCTGGGTGTGGGGCTTACACCTGTAACCCTAGCACTTTGGGAGCTGAGGTAAGAAGATCACTTAAGCTCAGGAGTTCAAGACCTGCCTGGGCAACATAGTGAGACCTTGTCTCCACAGAAAATTTAGAAATTAGCCAGGTGTGGTAGCGTATGCCTATAGTCCCAGCTACTTGGATGGCTGAGGTGGGAGGATCACTTAACCCTGGGAGGTCGAGGCTGCAGTGAGCTATGACTGTACCACTATATTCCAGCCTGGGCAACAAAGCAAGACCTCATCTTAAATAAATAAATAAATGGAAAAGTCGCTGGAGAAAGTGATGTGTAGACTGGGTTTTGAAGTAGTAGAAGTCAGCCAGATGAAGAAGAGGAGAAAGCATTTGAACAACACTCGTATTGACTCGTATTGACCTGGAGGCAGAAAAAGCACATCTACTTTGGGGAACCCCAAGCAGTGCATCAGGACTGCAGCAGAAGCGGAAGGCTGGAGAGGATGCTGAAGAGGCAGGCGGGAGGTTAATGATGCAAGACCAGGCTCTGGGAACACCGGCAGGAAGTATGGGCTTTATCCTGAAGGTGATGGGGAGCCAGTGAAGGAGGCAAGCCCAGGAGCAGGAGGATCAGACTTGGGTTTCAGATCTTCCAGCTGGTGAATAAACTGGAGGGAGGCCAGACTTGGGGCAGGGAGATGAGTTTTGAGAAATTTCCGGAAATTTAGATGATGAAAGTCCAAATCCAAGAGATGCAAGGTTTCATCAGAGTGGGCGAGGGCGAGCAGCACCCCCATGGAATAGTGAATAGACAGGGTACATTCTTGTTTTTGTTTTGTTTTGTTTTGTTTGTTTGGAGATGGAGTCTCACTCTGTCACCACGCTGGAATGCAGTGATGCGATCTTGGCTCACTGCAACCTCCTCCCGGGTTCAAGCGATTCTCCTGCCTCAGCCTCCCAAGTAGCTGTAGCTGGGACTATAGGCACGCGCCTTCATGGCCAGCTAATTTTTGTATTTTGAGTAGAGATGGGGTTTCACCATGTTGGCCAGGATGGTCTCAATCTCTTCACTTTGTGATCTGCCTGCCTTGGCCTCCCAAAGTGCTGGGATTACAGGCGTGAGCCACCGCGCCTGGCCCAGGGCATGTTCTTATTTGTGTGTGCAGTGTGGCCCCAACCTCCCACCCTTCCACAGCTGGGAAGAGGAAGCATGGGCCAGGCGTGCGGATGAGTGATTTCTACATGTCACCTAATCCTCTCAGTAACTGTCTGAACACATGGGATCGGCCTCACAGATCGGGAATCAGGGATTCTGGAACTGCCTGACTCAGCAATGAGCAGGGCAGTGTTTTCTCCTTAATGCCCTAAGGATTTTTGAATCCGCTTCACTTGCATCTCTATGAGTCCCTAGCTAACTCCTTACTTCACTGGTTAAATATAGCATCCATTATCTTTGACTCACCTCATTGCCAGAAAGGTGGTACATCCTGGCTTCCTGGAGCAGCGGGAAGACCTCTGGACACTGCCTGATGAGAGGATCTGCTTCTACCATCTCCACAAAGTACCAGGGGTCCAGAAGCGGTAAGCGCACGTTCTCAAGGACGTAGGGGAGTAAGCAGAGTCGTTCTGATGGCTTGTGCCGGACCCAGCTCATCACGGTCTCAAACACCTGAGCCTCCTCAGTCACGTAAAGGTCGTCACTTTTCAAGATGTGGTGCAGAGTGTCCACGGGTAGGTCAAGGAACTCCTCAGAGTTCAGAATCTGCACAAAGTTTTGAACGATGTAACTCTGAACCTGCTGCTTTAGAGTGTCCAACGAGTGTGTATCAGCCAGCCTCAGTATTCCAACACAGTTTTCTGGGTTCAAGGCTTCAGTGAGGAAGCTGGCACAGGCATCCACCATCCGCAGGAACTGATGGAACACAAAGGGTGGAAAGGAGGCCAGAAAATGATGAGTTCACAAGAGGTTTATCAGTGAGTTGTGTGTAGTAGCCCAAAACTGGAAACAACATTTGTCCAACAGTACTGAAATACATGTAATACATTCATACAGTTGACAGCTCTATAGATACTTAAACACATGTTGTAAACACATATTAAACAAAATGGAAAATGTTTATAATGTATTGAGTTTTAAAATCCATTCATTGGATCTGATTAAGCCTCTACATTTAATCAGCAATTTATGGGAAATAAGGGGAAAGAGGAACCTGCTAAATGACGCCATGGGAACACAATCAGCAAAATCCAGAAAACTCGAAAACTGGAAAACTCGACAGAACAACTTGTTCAGTTTCTTCAACAAAAACATTACAAGGGGAAAAAAGAGAGAGGAGAAGGAGAACCTAAAGATAAAAAGAGATTTAAGACACATCAACCAATTGCAAAGTACAGATTTTATTTGGATTCCTGATTTAAACTACATATATATATATATATATATATATATATATTTTAAAGTTGGAGAAATGTATACAATGACTAATATTTGGTGATAATACAACAATTATTCATTTTAGGTGCAATAATGGTTTCATGTTTATGTTTAAGAAGAATCCTTATTTTTTAGAGATATAACAGAAATATTTGCAGATAAGATGAGAAAAACACTTTGCAAATCGTATGTACATGAGGATTCTATTTTTATAAAGAAAACATATACAGAATAAAGTCACAGAAAAAAGACTAAAGGATATAGGTTATCGGGTATCTTAAGGCAAATTATTCTGCAGTAGCAAACAACCCCCACGTCTCAGGGGCTTACGACAATAAATCCTTCTCTCTCACATGTAATACATTCACACAGTCGACAGCGCCAAAGATACTTAAAAAACGTAGCAGGAGAATATTAAATGAAATGGAAAATGTTTATAATGTATTGAGTTTTTAAATCTGTTTGTTGGATCTGATTAAGACTCTACATTTAATCAGCAATTTATGGGAAATACAAAGGAAAGAGGAACCTGCTAAATGACGCCATGGGAACACGATCAGCAAAATCCAGACTGGAAAACACCATATATGTTCTTCCCAGGGCTCCTCATTCCAGGGCCCAGGAATGTGGAAAGGCCCTTACCTGAGGTATGCCGGTCTCATGACAGAAGGGGAAAAAAGATGGCAGAACCACACAAAGGTTTTTAAAACTTCTGCTCAGATGGGGCGCATGCTACATTCATTTATGCAAAACCATCCAGAGTAAGTCACATGGCAAAATTTGTCATCAAGGGAACCACAGTTCTCCCAGAGAAACAGGTATCATGGGATAGACAGGGAATATACTATACAGATAACAGAAGGTACAGATAACGAAGGTAATAAGACTATGAGAATTTTTCTAGTTTGGTTTATTTATATATTTTATTTATATACTCTAAGATGAACGAGTACCACTTTTGTCATTAAAAATTAATTTATAAAATCATTGATTGGCTGTCAGATCCTATTTTTAAGTTATCAGCATTCTCATAAAAATTCAAGTCCCGGCCGGGCACGGTGGCTCACGCCTGTAATCCCAGCACTTTGGAAGGCCCAGGTGGGCGGATCACGAGGACAAGAGATCGAGACCATCCTGGCCAACACAGTGAAACCCTGTCTCTACTAAAAATACAAAAAAATTAGCCGGGCATGGTGGCATGTACCTGTGGTCCCAGCTACTCAGGAGGCTGAGGAGGAAGAATCACTTGAACCCAGGAGGTGGAGGTTGCAGTGAGCCAAGACTGTGTCACTACACTCCAGCCTGGTGACAGAGCAAGAATCCATCTCAAAAAAAAAAAAAAAAATTCAAGTCCCTTATGCTTGTACAGCACTTTACAGATGACAGAGTGCTGTTATATGCATTGTATTTTTTAATATCCATTTTACAGATGAGGTGTCTCCAATGCATTGGTTCATTCTTCTTTGCTCTTCCCTGGAGCTTAGCTTTGAACAAGTTCAGCCTCCTAGCTCCCTTCCCTGCCGACTGGACTCCTTATAGGGTCACATTCGTGATGTACATGGATTGATCGATTAATGGGAGGACAGGAAAAGGGAGGCTAAGGCGGCACGACCTTAGCCTGGTGGGGGAGGCCTTCTGAAGGCAGGTTCTGGTGAGAGTAGGGATGGCACAGACCTGACTGCGGAGGGATGGCAGGAGCTGGGGGAGTGGGGCTATGGAGCCTGAAGGTTGAGGGTGGGCAGGACTGGTTCTAAGAGCAGACCAAGGTGACCCAGGCTCTGGACTTTACTCCAGAGCATGCCAGCGAACACATCCCTGACTTTCTGGATCAATCTCTATTGCAAAATATTTTCTGTGTCAGACCACATAGAATTGACAGTTTAAAAAGCATTTCTTGGGCTGGGTGCAGTGGCTCATGCCTGTAATCCCAACTCTTTGGGATGCCAAGGCAGGCAGATCACCTGAGGTCAGGAGTTCGAGACTAGCCTGACCAACATGGAGAAACCTGTCTCTATGAAAAATACAAAAAATTAGCTGGGTGTGGTGGCAGGTGCCTGAAATCTCAGCTACTTGGGAGGCTGAGACAGGAAAATTGCTTGAATCTGGGAGGTGGAAGTTGCGGTGAGCCAAGATCGCGCCAGTCCACTCCAGCCTGGGTGACAAGAGCAAAACTCATCTCAAAAATAAGTAGGTAAATAATAAAAGCATTTCTTTGAGGGTCGACGCAAAGTTGGAGAAGGCCTGAATTCTGCCTCAGGGCCCGTGTCTGCTGGCCTCCACCGCCGGCAGCTCTGTTCTTCGCATGAGCAACCATGGAAACGGTTGAGACTGAGGCTGCTAACACCTGCTTGGTCGTTAGCAGATTTTTCAGTTCAAAGAGTAAAAACATGCAACCAAGACCAAGCCCCTTGAGCCCTCCAAACCGGACGCCAGAGCCCTCTCTGGCCCTGTTCACAGAGACATCTATGCGAGCTGAAAGGAAACTCACTTCAATGGTAGCCCCCAGTGCGAAATACCACGACCATCATGCCAGCGTTTGCATGAGGGAAAAACTACATAGATATTTCCAGGTACTTCGACTATCTCTGGGAGCCCGCACAAGACCTGATAACAGTGATTGCCTCTGTTGGTGATGAAACGATTATTACTCATTTTAGGTGCAATAATGGTTTTACGTTTGTGTTTAAGAAGAATCCTTATCTTTTAGACACATAACTGAAATATTTGTGGATAAAATGAGAAAAGCACTTCACAAATCATATGCACATTATGATCCTATTTTTATAAAAAATAGAATAAAGTCACAGAGGCCAGGCACAGTGGCTCACACCTGTAATTCCCATCCAATTTTCTCATTTATAGAGAGAATACTAGAAGGTAACATACAAAATGCTAGCAGTTATAAAGTTTTTAATTGTTTGAGTTTATTGTATGACCAAGTTTACTATACTGAGCATGAACATTGTAAACTCAGGGAAAAAATATGTAAAATAAACACTTTATTGTGATTTTAAAGGACACAATGAAAAAAATGAAAGGTGAAAACGAAGAGAGCACTAACTGTAGGCCAGCTCGACACTCTAAGAGTTACTCGATTCTCACCGCAACACCGTGAAAGAGGAACTTCTTATCATCCCTGAGGAAGCCAGAGCCAGAGAACTAATCTCCTCAGAGGCTTACAGTTAATCAAAGATAGAACTAAAGTTTGAACCAGTCATCTCTGATTCCAAAAACGCATGTTTTTTATATTATTTTTCAAGCTGCTTCAGGTCAAATAATGCACGTGGCGGGCAAAGGTTTGCCAGATGCCAAATGTCATTTGCACAAGTCACTGGGCAGCTCAGATGACCTGATCTGCCCCGGCACAGAAAGGACCAGCCAGTTCCTAGTCCTGCTTGATGGCTATTGATGAGCAAAGAAGGAAACCACAGAGGAGAATCCAACCAAGTACTGAAGCGCGCGTTTGTCAGAAGCACTGACCCAAACTCGTCTCTTCCCTCCACCTGTCAACTCACCCCTCCAGCCACCTGTGTATGGACCAAATGTGGATCAAGCATGTGTATTTTTTTTATTTTACTTCATGTTCTGAAATACACGTGCAGGCAGAACGTGCAGGTTTGTTACCTAGGTATACATGCGCCATGGTGGTCTGCTGCACCTATCAACCCATCATTTAGATTTTAAGTCCCGCAGGCATTAGGTATTTGTCCTAATGCTCTCCCTCCCCTTGCCCTCCACCCCTGGACAGGCCCCGGTGTGTGATGTTCCCCTCCATGTGTCCATGAGTTCTCATGGCTCAACTCCCACTTATGAGTGAGAACATGCGGTGTTTGGTTTTCTATTCCTGGGTTAGTTTGCTGAAAATGATGGTTTCCAGCTTCACCCATGTCCTTGCAAAGGACATGAACTCATTCATTTTATGGCTGCAAGCATCTATTAATATTATGTAGGCGGCTTCCAACTAGTGCTGGGAGTACAGAGGTGAGCAGAGCCAAAGTGCCTGTGCTCACTGAAGCCGGCAGACGAGTGGAGGCAGCAGACACTAACCAAGTGATACAACACGGAGTGCGACAACAGCGGAGACAAAGGCTCCGCACCCAAGGCAGGGACTCCACCACCTGAAACCAGGGGCAGTCCCACTCCCACCCTTCCAACTCCCACAGTCTGGCTGTCAGTCCTCACCAGGACTCTCCCGGACAGAACCCCAGCTACGTTCACACCCGTCTCCTCGCCTTCTCCAAGGAGTCCCGAAGCTGCCCTGTTGCCGTGCATTCCGGTACTCCTGCCGTCCCTCCGCCTGGCTGCCTTTCCCCATCGTCACCATCTGTTATAATCCTGTACCCCTCACCCAGACAAGTCCGACTCCAGAACCCAACTTTTAAAGGAAAGACTCAGGGTCGCCCACCTCATTTTCAACAGAGAAATCCTCATGCAAGTTTACCTCAAGAAAGAGAACGTGAATCTTACAGCCGTGACTC